TATTTAAAATACAAAAGTTAACCTTAATATGAAGCTTCAAATGCTTCCAAGTATGACAAGTATGCAAAACAATTAGCAGACTGTAAGGTATACTTATTTTCTCTGGTTTTACCTTATACTTGAGCCTTTAATGTGTTTATTTTAATTGAAAAAAAATCTAATATAATTTTGTGAAAGAAGACTGAATGGCTACTCTTTTATGACCCTGTTAAAACCATGCAATTATTCAGTAGACTGACATGAAGAAGAAAGGTAGTTTAAAAATAGCAAAATATTATAACTTGTTGTTCTGTTTACTACTTCACATTTTGAACACTAAAGTTAAGAGAATATATTTAGTGGTAGATGATTGGTCTGTACTTCCCACAGTTACAATGCATTGGAGGTTTCACAGAGCTTGAAGCTGGCCTGCAGAAGTGTGCACATGAATCCTTCTGCATGGTAACACATATGCATAAATAACTCAGGTGAAAACAGAGAGAACAATCATGGAATTACACAGACAATTTAATGCAACTTAAAGCATGGTGCTAGTAACACCAGGGTCACATGCTCAATCCCTGTATGGGACATTCATTTAGGAGCTGGACTCCATCCTTGTCAATCCATCCCAACACAGAATGTGAAAAACTAAAATTGAGTGGAATTGAAGAACTGGAGCCGCTACATAGGACAAAATTCAGAAAGCAAAGCTTGAACTAAAGCTAGAACTATCACATTTGTAAAACACTACTGTTTTTTAATTCTCCTAGTGAAAATAAAGTTTGCATGCTTTCACAGAGTACCAGAATACTATTAAGCCCCCAGGAAAGGGAAATATGAAGATTCTCTTTTGGGACTTTCTTTCTTTCTACTCATCTCTCTTCAGGAAAAAAGCTCCCTCTGGAGAATTTCAGCTTACAGCAGAGACTGCAAATCAAGACGGCATTTGGACTCCCCCTTCCTTCAGGATATGGAGACAGCCCCTGTGGTTACTGAGACTCCCTGATCAGGTGATCAGACACAGCCCAGTCTTCTTGCTCTCCTCCAAAGAAACACTGCAAGCAGCTTTCCTTCTGCTGGAGGGGGGAAGATTAGGAGATGCCATAGCAGAGGAAAGCAGAAGGCTGCAAAAAGACTAATAAAGTATGGTAACAATAACCAGCCAGTGAAGTTGGATAATTGAGCAACATTTTACTCAGACTGCTATCGTCTCCTTGCAATTTAATCATTCCACTACTTAAGGCTGAGGTTTTAAATTAAATCTCAGGTGTAAACAGAGATATAAAGAAGCCAGTAAGCAGCTAAAAAAACCCCCCAAAACATCAAACAACAAATACAAAATTACTGACAAACCAAAAAACAACCCTCACCCGGGGGTAGAAATGAATTGTGAAATGACTGCAGAAAGGCGTCTCAGAAACACAGGAGCAGTCACTGGCAAGAAGCACCGTCCTCTCAGAGAACTCACTAGAACTGGCCTCCAGCAACATCCACACAGTCACAGAATTATAGAATGATTGGAAAGGACCTCAAAGATCATCTTGTTCCAACCCTCTGCCACAGGCAGGGACACCTTCCATTATAAGAGATTGCCCAGAGATCCATCCAACCTGGCTTTGAACACCTCCACACACGGGGCATCCACAGATTTCGGGGCAACCTGTCCATACCTAACCTAAAGTACCCTCTTTCAATCTGAATCTATTTCCCCTTGTCCTGTCACTACATGCCCTTGGAAAAGTTGCTCTCCAGATATCTCGCAGGCTCCCCTCAGGTACTGGAAGGCTTCTATAAGGTCAACTCGGTCACAAATCAAGCCACGCCACTGCTTGGACAGCAACATTCCAGCCCTTTACCTAGATGGCCCGGCACAGCTGTGCTATCGGGGCCAAAGGGCGACACTACCACCCAAGTGGGAGTCACGGCAGCGCCCGGCAGCGTGGCAGGAGCCCGTACGGCGGGGAGCTCAGCCCAGCACTGCGGGGGCTCCGCGGCGGACACGGCCGGGAGCTGAGGCGAACCGAGGGGTGCCCCCTTCCTGGCTCTTCCCCAAACCCGGCAGCCGGAACCGCAGAGCCCCGCCGCGCCCTCCCTCTGAAGGGACAACAGCGCCCGGGCACAGCCGGGGCAGCGGGGCAGGAGATGGCGGAACACCTGCACGACGCCGCCCTCACCCCGGCAGCACAGGGAGCGCCTTACCCGCCCGGCGCCGGACACACAGGGGCCGCGCACCCCGCACCGCCACAGCCCCGCCGCCGCCGCCATCTTCCCCCGCCGCGCTCTGCGCCTGCTCCGCGGGGAGGAGCGGCGGGCACCGGGCGGGCACCGGCAGCCGCGGAGACCGGGGAGCCGGCGAGACCGCCCCTGCCTCAAGTGCTGCAAAATATGTAAACAAATTTTTAAGAAAGGGCGTTCCTTAATGTTTGATCTTTGCTGTTTGATCTTTGTGTACTTTCAAGCCTAATGAACAAGAAAGGAGCAAACAAGCTCTAAGCGATGTCCAGGTGAAAGACAAATTATTTGTTTGTGGAATTGCCTTGTTAAGGCTTAGGGCTTGCCATGTTTCCATGATCTCAGAGCTAGAGGGTGATTAAGGAAACTTGGGAAGAAGGATGTACCACTGACAGTGAAGGCAAAGAATGCAGAATTTACGGGATACAACGGCTTTTGGCAGAATCCTCAAGATAAGAAAAAACATAAAGGCAACTCAGTCAGCTCTGACTGGGCAAAAGGTATTTCTGATGGGAGAGATTGCCCAGTGACCCAAAAGAAGGGAAAGACTGAGTATGTGGACTAAACAGTATGAGAAATAATCTTCTATTAAGCAATAGAAGATAGAGTACTAATTAATAAGAGAACTAGGTAGCTGGCAGCCAATGAACATGGATGCCTTTGTTTGCTAAAATGTTTAAATAGTGAACAATTTTGGTAGTCCTTGTGCCAGCTTTATGGATTTGTCATCCAACACCCCTTTCTGCACAGAACTAATCAAATGTAGACTGGTCTCTTGCACACCAGGTGAAAAAACTATTTTGGAATAACACAGGGCCACCTTCTCAGTCACTGCCACTGCCCTGGTGCCTCCAGTTCCAGCTGTGAGAGCTGGAGACTGCTTGGTTAGGTCTATATGCTTCACTGGATTGGAATTTTATTATTGCAAGTGGCTTACTAAATTTTACTTAAAGGATATTGAAGAACTATCTTATTTGGTGGGTGGTTTGGTATTTTTCTTTGTTTGCTTTCCTTGTGGTATCCAAACCCAGGAATTGCTGTACCCGTAGTATGGCAGCCAGTTCTTGGCATGTGTTTTGGGGCGAGAGGAATCGTTTATTAAAGAAATATGAGAAAAGAGGTGGCTGAAGATATTAACTGTCTGCTGATTAGGAATTCAAATGGATGGGTAACACAGGGCCTGATTTGAGGTAAAATCGTGCATTCCCAGATCACTCCTGGGCAGCAGAGAGGGGCTCCATTCTGGCTTCACTGCACACATCAACACCGGCTGATTGCTGTGAAACAAGATTTGCCAGAAAGATCAAGAGTCCTCATTTCAAATTCAGTGTTGTTAATGGAGTTCAGAAACAGCCTAAGTGGTCTGTGAACATCAGGCCATATTTAGCTGCGGGGGATTATGTTGAGATAGGAAGACACTTGATTTATCTGTGTTGAGCACAGAGACTGGCTGATGCAAAAAGTACTGACTGACTGATACTCACCCATTTGCACAGCCTTGGTAATCAATCAAAGAAACCTGCAGAGTTGTATCTACTCATAAGGAAGGGTAAGGGGTTGGGGGAGTAGCATAGTGGCTGTAAGTACCTACAGATTTAGTAAAGCTTCAGGTTTTGAGGGGAAGACACTACACTTGATGAATCTATGCAGTTATAAAATTTGGCATGAAAGACAACAAATCTATCAGTGGGTTTGTACTATCAACTTTTGAATTAAGAATTCCAGGTGAACTGATTACACACTTCTGTGGGAGTTCAGAGGACGCAGAATTTAAATCCTATGTCTTACTCATCATTGCCCTGTATAAAAATGGTGAAAAAGCCATTTTCTCTAAATGTTCAGCATTTAGGGGAAAAAATTGTTGATGCTTTGTTGGTACAGTAAGCTCTAGAGTAGGTAGCATCTTTGTAAATTCTGCACACCGTCTGGCAGGCATTGAAGCAATAGTGCCACACTGCTGGGCAGTAGTTGCCACATTTATCTTTAAAGCAGCATATGGAATGTATCTGGTAAGAGTTAGAGGGTTGCTCTAAGGCTTACATTGTAATATTCCCTTACAATCAGTTAATTCAACCGCGCTGAGTCTCAAGGCATCGGTAATCACTGAATAGAAAAAACAAAACAGCAACAACAAAGACAGAAACAACCCCAAGAAACAAATCATAAAAACAATAATAATAAAAAAGAAGTTGGAGAAACAGACTGTATAAGTGTATGTCGTCCAAGAGAAGCTTTTAAATTGCCAAATACTACAGCATTTAGGAAGCTTCACCGGAACAATACCAACAACAGGAAACAAACTAAAAACTATGCATTGGAAAATTCAAATGTGCAGAACAGCTACCTGTGAAATAAACACTGTATTTCTATGGTGAAAGTGAACAAGATGATATCACTGAATGTATTGGTTTTGCATGGCCTGGTTTTTGGTAGCGGGAGAGGCCACCGAGGTTGCTCCTGTGAAAAGCTGCCCGTGGGGCCGGAGATGTCAGTCTCAATCCGCGCTGACACATGGCGAAGGGGACCGGCTGTGACAGGGACACAGGCATGAGCCGCGAGAGAGGTCCCGGTCCCGGTCCCGGTCCCGCCCTGTGCTCCGGCCCCGCCCCCGGCCCGGTCCTGCCTCGGCCCCGCCCCGTGCTCCGGCCCCGCCCCCGCCCCGCCCCGCGCACGCGCGCCGCCCCACCGCTGCAGCGATGGCGCGGGGCCAGTAGGCGGCGCCTTCGTGTCCGTCTCCTGATCCCGGCCCGGCGCGCGGGATCGCGGCGGCGGATCGGATTCCGGGATTTTTACTCCCCGGCCCGGCCTCATCCCGGCTCGCTGTGGGCTGCCGGACGGACTTCCGGGATGTGGAAGCTGGTGCCCGCCTCGGGAAAAGGTGAGGGACCCCCAGACGCTCCGGCAGCTGGGCCCGGGCACCGTGGGCCCCCGCTCCGCCCCGCCCCGAGCGGCGCCTGCGCGCGTCCCCGGGCGTGCCGGCGCCGTGGTGCCTTCCATAGCGCCGGCTCCTGCCGGACCTGCGTGTCCCTGCTGCCTCGGGCCCACCGTGCTCTGAATCCCCGTCGCTCTGGGCGTTCGTCTACGGCGAACCCTCCGTATTTCCATGGAGCACTGCTGATCACAGCGCCTGTTAAATCCAGTGGGGCTTCTTTTCGAACCTGTGTGGGATGTCTTAGGGTGCTGCAGGTTAGAGTCCTGCTTTGAAATACCTGGGGACTTGAGCTCAAAGCCAGCAACCTCAGAAACGGTGTTTAACTATTGTGTTGATGTTTCAAGGACCAGTTGTTGAACTTCGTGGTGTTTTCTTGCATGCAGAGTTTTGAAACTAAATTGCCTCTATACTTTTCTTCGTTTTCTTGTCTATAGGAGCTTTAGTAATAGGTATCATATAATACATACATTTGTTTCTAACTGCTTATAAGGAACAGACCTAACACAACTGTATCTGCTCTCTGTTTCCTGGCTCACTGTGAGGAAATTTTTGATTTATTTCCTGGGAGATACAGCACCTAATCCTGCTGAAATGAGCTGACTTACCTCTGACTGCCTGAAGAGCTGTTGAGTGAATCAAAACACTCTTAATTCTATTCAGAATGATCATTTCTGCACAGTTCATTTTTTGAAACTTATTTGCCAGGGTTGATAACTGGAATTTGTTTCTACTTATTCACGTTCACCAAGAAACATTTTTAGTTTTGTTGACTGGTGGTAGCACACCTTTGGGAGAGAGTCAAGCCATTCACTGGGAAGCCACCGTGGGGTCTACGTGACAGGTAAAAAGTATAAGCTAAAGTATAAGCATTGGTCACAGGCTGAACTTACTAAGTATCAATTTGATTTACATGAAAATCTTACATTCATTAGGAGGACATTTTCCTCTAAATCTCTTAATCAGTTATGAACAAATGATAAAACCTCAAAAATTATGTACCCTTACAAAGATGTTTTAGAAAACCTATCTTACATTGTGGGTTTTTTTAATTCTTAATGTTACACTTAATCTTCAAGAAAGCATTGGTAAAAATGTATTATCCTTGAAAAAAGTGTGCTGCCACATTTGAAACTGCTTTGTCATAAAATGTATCCTTTTAATAACAGACAGAGCAATGGAGCAACAAAGCAAGAGATTTTATCTATAAGCTAAATGCATAATTCTAATCAGAATTCAGAGTCACAGAATGTTCTGAGCTGGAAGGGACCAACAAGGATCATTGAGTCCAGTTCTTAAGTGATTGGCACACATGGGGATAAAACCCACAACTTTGGCATGATTGGCACCATACTCTGACCATAAATGATGCATGGCAAAACTGACATTTAGATGTGCTACAAACTCCTTAGTGTCTCTCCTGTGTGCTTCAGGTATTTTGGTGTTTTTTTCTAAATTGGTATTTTTCTGTCTGTTTATTTCCAGGAGAGCCATATCGGCTTTTAAGTGGTGTAGAATATGTTGTTGGACGCAAGAACTGCACAATTTTAATTCAGGATGATCAGTCTATCAGTCGGAGTCATGCAGTTCTGACTGTAAGTCAGCCTGAAACAAGCCCTGTAAGTAGCCACCATTTTACTGCATTATCACTATAGGGATAATTCAGGCTGCCATGACCATGCATACTCCCATTTTGCTCTCACCAGTTTTATGCATGGAGTAAAACCATTGATCACCTCTCTTTTTTTTTTTTTTTTTTTAAATCTTGAAATTTATTTTCCCCCCTTAGATTTGTTTGCTTTCATTGAGAAATTTAGTGGCATAATTTTAGTAGTCCAAGCTTCCTTTTATCCCAGAGTGAAGATTCACTAGGAATTTGTATTAAAATAATAATAGCAGGGAAATTATGCAATTAAGTTTCGTTACACAGACAAATTTTAGGTTCTGGGAAGTGCTTCAGTTGTTTTACTGCAGACTTAGTTTCAGTTTCGTTTCACATCATTAATTCTGTATTTGCTTAGGGCATGGAAAAGAAAAATGTACGAAGGAGAATTAGCAATCATCAATTTACTGCCACTAAGTGTTGTGACATTTATGGATGTTTTGAAGCAAGATAGCAGAAATTTAATTTATGTAACCTTATGTAGTGTTTAAAATAAAATATGCAAAATATAGTTGTCCCTTTAATACTGCAAATACTGAGTGAGTCCAGAGGAGGGCTGTGAAGATAATGAGGGGATTGGAGCACCTTAGTTGTGAGGAAAGGCTGAGGGATCTGGGCCTGTTCAGCCTGGAGAAGTGGTGACTGAAAAGGGACCTCATCAGTGTCCATCAGTAGCTGGGAGGGTGTCAAGAGGATGGAGCCAGGCTCTTCTTGGTGGTGCCAAACAATAGGACAGAAGACAGTGACAGAAACTGGAACACAGTTCCATCTGAACATCAGTAAGAACTTTACTGTGAGGGTGACTCAGCACTGGAACAGAGTGTCTGGAGAGGTTGTGGAGTCTGTCTCCTGAGGTACTCCAAAGGAGTCTGGAGACAATCCTGAGTAGCATGCTATAAGGAAACCTGCTTCAACAGGCAGGCTGGATTTGATCACCTCCAGTGGTCCCTTCCAATCTTATCCATTCTGTGAATTAGCATATAACTGCATGGCAGAATTTCATAAAAACAAGCTGTCAGTGTTCTCATTGGCTTGTGAACCACTTTGGAAATCTGACAGTATCTAACTTCTCAAGAGATGCTGGTGTCTCCATGTCCTGCAGTTTGGGGAGGACTAGCATTCCTCATGGAAGGAAGTGCAAGAAAGTGTCCTCAGGTGACCTTAGGCTTTTACTTACTATTCAGCCCAATGCCCAGGATAGCGCTGAGTAGTAGGTAAAATCATAATAAATCTCAGAACCTTACTAAATTGCACTAGCTCAGGCTTTGGGCCAGTGAATGAGACTGCCATGAGGTCTCCAGAAAGACAAAATGTAATGTCCAAGAAGATGAAGTGTAAGAAGCGCAGAAGTTTTGAAGCTAAAAACATTTATGTTTTCTCTCATTCCTCTACAGTGAAAAGCAGAAGATAAAGAATTACATATAGCAAGCCTCATTGTCCAAATTCTGTATTTAAGATGTTTTGTGGGCTACTTCTTATTTATCCATTTATCCATTTATCCATTTATCCATTATTGTTCCACAGTGATAATAACTTGTTTCTGATAAAGCTGTCTCATTCTGATAAACTATAACGGCTTGTTTATGTTTATTTTCAGAGTCAGTCTCTCTCAGTACCTGCATTAACAGTAAGAGATACCTCTAAGTATGGTACCTTTGTTAATGGAACAAAACTCAATGGTACTTCAGTCTCTTTGCAGTCTGGTGACAGAATCAACTTTGGAGTCTTTGAGAGCAAGTTTAGGTAAGTGTTTTGATTATAAAATACCAACTAAAAACCGAATTTTTTTAGAAGAGTATTTTAGCATATCATACAACTTTGCAAGTGATACAGCACTGATGAATTTTTAGAAAGCAAAGGAGGCGAGTAGTATTTTGCCTGTATTCCACACCTGCTTCTGCAATAGTTTTCCGTAATATTTTTACATAATTTATTTTGACACCAGGAGATTAAAATTGTAGATAAGAAAGCATTGGCATTTTAAAAGATGATATGTGCTGTACAGTTAGTATTTTCAGGCTCTGTCAGGCAAAGAACAAAATCCTACACCAAATGAGAAGAAGGGAGAAAGGCTTACAGTTTGTTGGAGCCCTTGTTAGCTGTTCATGATGTATCAGAAAAGAACTGACATTGCAGGAGGATGTGAACTCATCTTGATGTTCTTTTCCAAATTTAATATGGTAGCCAGTGGTATCTGTTTATTTATAGGAAGACCTTCTGGAAATGAATTAGCAGATAAACAGAAAAAGTGTAATGACCGTTAAAATCAATGTTAAAGTAACCAGAAGGTGGCTCTGTGCCTTAAAATTTTATTCAGTTTTATCAATGCTGCTGGTATTATTTATTGTTAGGAAAAACTTGGCATTTTTCTCCAATTACTACAATAGATTAATTTTTTATATTTTAGGTAAACATACCTGAAACATGATGCAGGAATCATACCTTGAGACCAGATACATCATGACTGTTATACTGGAAAATTTACAAAGTAGAAAGAAATTTAAATAAATTAAAAATTAAATAATGGAATTTGATATGTTTTGAATTTGATATGGAAGATCTAAAATATGTATATATATAAAAGCTTATGGTCAAGGATAATGGCAATGTTAGGAAAATGTTACTTGAAATTGCATTCTCTGTGTTCTATGTATTTTTTAAGTACTAATCTGTTGGTGACCTGTCCTGTAGAACATACTTTTGCTTTTGGAGACACGCACTCAAATTTCTTCTGATATTCCCAGACCTTGCACTATTCTTGAAGCACTAATTCTGTGTGATATCTGTAAAAGAGCCACTAGTCCATAGAAATATTTCAGACATCAGGTCAAATTGTCATTAATTTTTCTGAATAAAAATTAGTATTTTGTTTCTTTGGGAAATTTTAAAGCAGGGAGATTTTATTTTGATCTAGATTAGAGTATGGGTATTTTATTTTTTTCCTTCAGATTTCTGTGAGACTCAAATGTGATAGTTAAGTCAGCTCTGTTCATCAGAATGATTGGCTGAACTAATTTATGCAATACTTTTGCTTGTTCTTTGCAGAGTGGAATATGAACCTTTGGTTGTCTGCTCCTCATGTTTAGATGTAGCTCAGAAAAATGCTTTAAATCAAGCCATCCAGCAGCTTGGTGGCCTTGTAGTGAATGAATGGACAAAAGAGTGTACCCATCTTGTAATGCTATCAGTAAAAGTGACTGTTAAGGTATGTTGAGCTTTTCCCTGTTGATGGAATTGCTTTGCAGTTTTTCCCACAAATGCTAATTAAATGCTCGACCTGTTCAAGATTTTTCTCTACAAAACTGTAGTCAGCTGTTTGTTTTCCTTGTTTAGAAGATGTATATCTCAACAGGAGGTTGAAGGGAAAGAAAACAAAAAAAGCCAGTTTTGAAGACCTAGTGGTTTTTATCAGTTGCCTTCCACATTTTCATAACTTTAATCAATACACCAATTAAAAGCTAGGCTGCTAGAAGCAAAATAATCCTGGAAGCACAAATCAGTATTGTTTTATTTGTTTGATATTTTCCACATCTTCTATCTTAAAAAGCTAATGTCAGTCGAACTATATGCTAATTCAGCTTTTTCTATTCAGTAAATTTGTATTTTCTGTTTTTTCAGACTATATGTGCTTTGATTTGTGCTCGACCAATTATAAAACCAGAGTTTTTTTCTGAATTAATCAGAGCTATTCAGTCCAGGCAACAGTTGCCAAGTCATGAAAGGTAAGTTGCCAAATCATCATGTTTACTGTGTTGCAGAATGAAATTTGTGGGAGTTAGATTATGAGATAACGACACATTTATCTGATAATTTTTGACATAGTATGCAATTCATAGTAATTTTATTTGTGGAGGAATGCTTAATATGATTAACATTTTAATATTCCAGTAATTTTATTTTTCCCATCCCTAGAGTTATAAAATGAGCTCTGGAATTTACTCTATGCTTAGAGATGTTACTGTGTCTAAAAAGGAGCTTATTATTATATTGAAATGTTGCTTCAAATACTTCTGGGAACTGATACATAAAAATAAAGAAATTACACTTTTATAAAAGAAATTGTATCAAGTTTATTTCATTATGTAGACGTATTTTCCCAGTGTGCTTTTAGTTACTGAGTTTACTGTAAACTTTGGTCAGTACAGAGTTAGCCTGACCGTTGAATTCTCTGAAATAGAAGAGGTTTTTAATTATCTGTTGAGAGATGAAGTGAGACTAATGTGCACTTGCCTTCACTAAATGAGAATAAAATATTCATTGTTTTCATGGTTAAATTAACTTCAAATGGGAATTCTTAATTTGGAATCATTAAGTACTGCAGAATAGTTCTTTTGGTTATTTTCTTGATGCGAGTAAATGTCACAATATTTTATGTGACAATTCCATCTGAGCCCATAGTGCTATTCATTTTACTTTGAAAAGGGAGACATTTGTGTTTTGTTTGGGGGTTGTGGTTGTTGATTTTCTATTGTATGAACACATGATTTATACAGGTGAGAAATTCCCACTATGTAAATACATTAATATGTGCATAAATATGCATATATGTTAGGAAATGGCAATTTTCTTTAGTAGATGTCGTAGTAGCCATTGATAGAATAGTTTGAAGTCTGAGCTTGGGTATATACTAAACAAACTTCTAGTGCTCACATGGAAATAGAAACAAAATGAAAGGATTCACAATAAGCCGTATTTGATATGTGGTAAAATATATTTCACAGAACATAACACTACCTTGTTAGAAAAATAAAGATACCAATCTAGAGCAATTGGTAGGAGATACTCCTTAGTTTCTAGATGCTGCTTTACGTTAGCAGGGTTTATATAATATGTCAAATCAGTCATCTATGAGTGGCTTAAAACTCATTTGTTCTTCAGTTTCAGAAGAAAGGGAGAATCTGAATGGGTTGTAACTTTCCATTCTATTTAAACTTCTGCATTGTTTTCTCAGGATGTAAGAAGACTAAACAAACTGTTTAGAACTCTCTGCAATACTTTCCTGGGAGATTTTTCTTTTGTAGTACAGGTCATACAAGCCATCAGAAGCTAGTAATGGGTTGTGCAACTTGAAAATTGTTTGGTCGAATATTCCTGGTAATAATGCTGCTGTTCCTGTCTCTTACAGGAACAAGTAAACAGTGTCTTTATCTTGCAACCAGGATGTGTGTCCATTTAATACAGAAGTGACAGTATAATTGGCTTTCAAGTGCTCCCTAAAAAAGAAGCAGATGGCTATGTTTACCTTTCTGAAATATTTTTTGCTAACTTTTAAGATGCTGAGAGAACCTGAACTGGCTAAAAGGTAGTGACACTAGCAGTGTACACATTATATAGCTTTCAAAGAGAGTTCTGCATCAAGCTAAATGAAACAGCTGATGTATCACATAGATCTATGTTTAAAATAAATGCTGTATTTTAAATAGGTCATGTTTTTGCAATGTAGCTTGTGGGAAGATGCTAAAAATTTACTTAGCAGCTATTTTCATTAAATTTCCAGAAATACTTCTAACTTCAACTGACAATCTCTCTATTGTGCATTGTACCTAGAGCCTGGGGCAATACTGGTTTGGGTGTGAAACAGGAAAAGTGTATCGAGATGGCAATACTAGGTGATGCTGTTCATTAAATCTTTACTATAACTATAGAGCTGGTCCCTCCCAAAAAATCTAGGGAAACATTATCTTAAAAAGAAAGAAATTAATTAAAGCATATTTTTTGTTTATAGTAAGGCTTCATGTAATGGCAAACCTGCAGTTCCCATATGAATGTGGGACTTCTTGAGTTTATTTTTATAGTGTTACCCCAGTCCTCTGGTACTCTCTGACAACCTATGCAAAGAACAATAACCAAAGATTTCACAAATGGCTGCATGAGCACAGTCCTGTATTAAATAATGTGTTTTATTACTGCAGGCCAGTGTCAATAATGCAGGGCTTTGAAAAAGAAGAAAAGTAACAGTTTTTAACAGAAACTCACCAAGAATCAAAATCTATGTATTGAGAGATTCAAGATTGTAGAGGATCTTTTCTAGATAATAGTGTTACTATTAAAAACTTATGAGGCCAAATATGAAGAGAACTTCAGAATCCTGCCTGCAAAAGACTGTTGCCTTTTGAGCTTAGGTCAGCATTGGATAAGAGTTTATAAGAAAATCAAAGGTAATTTTTTGGGTTTTTTTGGAGACAATCATCAGTTAAAGTTGTTTGCTGAAGTTAAAATTGGAAATTTAAAAATATATTTATAAAGAAACTATAGTCTGCTTTCAAAATAGTGAAAACTGTTGTTGTTTAGTTTTTACTTGTCCTTTCATCTTTAAAGATGACTTTGTCCCTTGTATTTATCTTAGGTTAATAACTGTCTCTGTGAGACTCACTATTAGAAGTCTTCTGGCGTAATGACTAAAGTCTGAATTGCCCTATTTCTACTTGAAATTAGTAGGCTGTATCATATCTATTCAATTTCAATGCAGCAATATTTTTGTAAACAGATTCGAACAGGCTGCTGAAATAGATCAAATATTGCCTTTCAAAATCTGGTGGATTTAGGTTGCCTGATTTTCATTGTGTACATATAGTTTGAAGAATTGACTGTGAAGAACACATAAGAATGAAGATTATTTAAAAGCACCTGTAACTATATAGCACATTTTAGCCTATCATAATTGAATTGTGTATTTGGATGAAGTAGAAAATTCATGTGCTTATTTTTGTGTTCAGCTTGAAATATATGAATGTTCAGTGTTTGAGGGATGTTTTCTGTTTATAGATGCTTGATTTTTTTTTCCCAAAGTGTCAATATTTCAGCATTTCATATGTTTCGTCCTTAAAATCTGCCAATCTTTGCTGTTAAACTGAATTCTGTTGGTGTGTTTCAGCATCTTTTTTTGTTTTCCTACATAGTAGTATGAAAAGGATATATAATCAGCAGTCAGAATAAAGATAAGTAGTTCTGTGATCAGCCAAACTATGTACATGATCAGCTGTTTGGATACAGATGTGGTATAGTTTGGTTAAAAGTTCTTGTTTCTGACACGTGCCTTCATCTTGCTCTGTCCAAACTGCTGTAGCAGTGAATATGTAGCTCAAAGATTTTGCAAGTATCCTGAAATTATTAGTTAGATGCATGTCCTAACTCTTGAGGCTTTTCGTGGTCTGGGCAGGCTATCATTAACTGGAGCTGAGGTCCCAGGCTGTGACAAAATTTAGGGCTTCAGGGTAGAATTTTATTTTTGCCTAATATGTTTCCCAGCTAAACTCCTGCTTATTTTGCCTGTATTGGACAAAACAGTAGAGAATCTGCAGAGTGAATCCCTTCAGTTCTCTATCCCACCAGCAAGAAAAGTGTACTTGTCTGCTGTCATATTATAGGCTATTCTCGAGTGTGGTGGTACAGAATTTCTTGACACAGTAGAAGAGAATGAGGGGTGACTGTCTCCACGTGGAGGGTAGAGGAAGAAAGAAGTAATTTCATGTGGAGTCTTACAATTATCTAGAGTAAGTGCAGAATGAAGTTGCAGTCCCATTTGTCAGTACTGTTAGTAAGAATGTGGATATGTGTAGAACAGTTGGGTTGAATGCATTCCTAAAAGTATTTTCTTAGTTACTGAATGGTCTTGTATTTGTTGTTAAAAAAATAGTGGCTCTTTTTCTTCTTAACAATCTCTTGAAAATTATTTATGTAAGTGATTTTAACAGAGAAATGTAGGATTTTAACTTCAGAACTTTATTCTGAAGCAGAAAGGACTATGAGTCAGTACTGATAATTGAATCTGAATTTTCTAACTTGCATTTTATGTTCTTGCAGCTTTTATCCTCCAGTTGATGAGCCTTCCATTGGCAGTGAAAACCTGGATTTATCTGAGCGTCATGAAAGGAAAAAAATATTCAGTGGAAAAACTTTTGTTTTTCTAACTGCCAAGCAGGTAATCACAAAAATGTTGCAGGGGTAGGTAGCTAAGTACAGGTTTGTTCACTCTGAAATCACACTCATTCTGGGTTCATCAGAAAAGAAGGAATTCTGTGTATTTATCCTACAGTACAGTGGCCTAAACAAGATAAAATGTAGAGGAGGAGCAGAATATATTCTGTCTGCAGTAGTGCATCAGTGAGAACCACTGCCCTTATACTTCTCTATTCTGATACCTCTAAACTGACTGCATTCTAAGATTTTTCTTTTTCATTTGTATTCTGTTTTTAGCACAAGAAACTGGGTCCAGCAGTTGCTCTTGGAGGAGGGGAAGTAAAGTTGATGACAGAAGGAAGAAAAGAAATGCCTTTGCTACTTTCTCCTGGAGTTTGTGTAGTTGATGTGGGTTTGACAAACTCTCAGACCTCAGGATCTGTCTCTATTACAAACTGGACTGATTCCATTCTGACTATCTTGGAAAGGTGCAGCATTGTTCTCTTGTACAGCGGTAGGATAATTTCAGAATTTCTACAGAGACTTAGTCATGGCGTTTGCATACATATTTAAGCAGGGGGCTGCTTATAAAAAGGGCATTTTTAAATTGTTCTAAGTATTTAGCAGAATAACTAAAATCTCTTGAAGTAGGAAAGAAAGGACTTGGCAGTTCCATGAGGATTTGCTGGAATTTCTATTTTCCTTTTTTTTTTTTTTTTTTTGTAGAACTCAGTTCTACAAAAATTCATTATAATGAAGCTGCTTTAAAATTACAGGCAGCAAGTAGTTCCTCTTCTGCTATTTAAAAGAAGTTAAAATTAATATATTCTAAGAATGCAAAATAGTACAAAATGCACAAGTAGATAATTTATGATAGTTCATTAATTATATGTATTTCATCAAAAAAAGAGATGAGATGGCACCTTGAGGTCATGTGATTTATTGTCATGTAATTAACTGTTTTTGAAGAATGTTAAATGCAAATTAGTTTTTGTTTTGGTGGTAGGTTTTGTTTGAGAGGGCAGACTGTGTTATAACATTATAGATGTTAGGATTATCATTATGCCATTTTTTTAAAACAATAAAACAAAATCTCAATCCTTACATGTAAACCTAGTTCCCCTAAATTTTCCTGCTGGGTAGAGAAGACAGTGCTTAATCTCTCCTAGTGGCTGTAGTACAGAAGATGGCTGGGGGGCCTGACATGTAAGAAGTGGTCACGTCTTCCAAGTCTCTTTTCACACATACTTGAATCAGAAGTAGAGCATAATTGGTTAAATGCCCAAAAGTCAGGAAAAGAGAGCTGTATGAGCCAGATTACTGGAGCTAGACAGTAGCCATGGCATCAGGAAATACGGGAGTTCATCCATACAGGACATGGCTATAATGAAGGATATTTGTGCTGACTTAGTCTGTTGGGAAAAACTGTGGTGTAGGCTGACTTTTTTTTTTTTTGGAGGCGGAATGGAATATTTTGTACATTGTGTACTTTGTACCTGTACTCATTTGCCTATTTGTTTTTGAATCTGTACTGAAAAACTTTTTTTTTTTTTTTTTTTTTAATTTGGATATTAACAGCAAGAATCTTAGAGCTATTCCAGAGGCAGAAATTGGATTGGCAGTTATCTTCATGTCTACAGAAAAATATTGCAACCCTCAAAAGCAGCCTGCTTCCAAAGGTAATTTTATTAAACAGTCTCAAAGGGGCAGTATTTCTTTTTGTATAAGAGCATCAGTTGTGATGTTCAAGTTATTTTGTTTTGCAAGACCACTAAAAAGAGTGGCATTCTATGAAAAATGTACACGATTCCAAAGAGGTAGTTGGTTTTTAATGGCCTTGCAGTAAATTGCAGTGAAAATTATATAATTCTGAGATGCAAATAAAAAAGTAGATATAAAACTAGTCTAAAAGGCAGACACATAGAACAGTGACCTTGAAAGGAAAGGTACTTTAAAAACATCTGAAGTTCATATTTTTAGTGACCATGAATTCGCATGTATGTGGTAGTTTGAATTCCATGCTATTCTGTCTTTCTGTATAAGACTGGGGTAATCAGGAAGTACAAGATGAGTGTCAGAAATCAAGAGAATAAGAATGGAAATAATTTGTTAAGGCTTGCTCTTTTTTTTCTTTTTTTGCTCTTTTTTTTCTTTTTTTGCCCTTTTCACAAAACAGAATTTGCTTTAGGAAAATACAATCACCTCCTGCACAGTTCAAAACTAAAAATAATCTTTCCATAAGTTGAGACATAATTGCCACATTTGCTGAAGTAGTAGTTTGGGAGTGGATATTCCAAGACTTCAAGCTTGTATTTACTAATGCAGTAATAAATGTCTTTGAGAGACAGAAAGAGGTTTTGTTTGTCAAATTCTCTTTTCATGCCTATTCCTGTTACTCTATATTTTGTTGCTATGAAATTTTCAGAATTACATTTCATAGATTCTGTTTTGTACTACAAAATGTTGTATCAGGTAGAAAATCCTACCGTTATTTTTAAAATCTAAGAAAAAAAACATAGGTTTGTCTTTACGTGTAGGAACATTTCTTACTTGAAAAATGTATTTTGAATAGGGAAAGACATATATGCAGTACTGGCAGAGATGCTGATTCTTATTTCTAGTCTGAATTATTCAGCTGGATAAAAGTTAAGTGGTCTGAAATTGTGTAAACAGACTGTATATCAGGGTTTAAAGGGAGCAGTGTTTAAAATTGAAAAAACTTGTATCCCAGATACAATAATCACATCAGAGATCGCCATAAAGGAGTAAACATAAGGAATTTTGTGCTCTTGACAGTTTTGCACGATCTACATATTGCATTATATATATTTTATTTTTTGCATAAAATATGTACCACATGGCTTTTAAAGTATATTATGTACATATTGGTATATGATTTCCCATTTTGCTTCATTTTTATTTAAGCAGAATTCCAGTACTTAATCTGTAGAATATTTAACAAAATCTGAATTCTAGAATATGGTCCTTCAGAACTATTTTGGTCAGTTTTTTAAAAATTAATAAATCTGCTTATTTTTTAATTAATACTGCTTTAAGATAATTTTACAAAGATCTCACATGATCAGGTAGTAATGTGTGATTGCATATGCAAAGAAACACAGATTGGATATTAATCTTCTAAGTCTTCTCTCGTGTTGGTCTTGCAGCTGTACCTGAAAGTTCTGCATCAGCTGTCAAAGGCCGGGCCATTTCCCAGAGTCTGGCTGTGGATGAAACCATAATGCCAACTGCTGCAGATAGCAGCACCTTATGCATAGCTGATACAGAAGAGCAGACACGGTGAAGTATTCATGGGGATTTCTAAGCTAACACTTGCACATAAAGCAGTTGTTTGTGGCAGAGGATCTGTTAGAACTGCTATTTATGAAATTGCTGTCACTTCTCTGCAGTGAGATATTTTCTGCTTTTGAGTACTAGATTACAGAAAGCATCCCATAGGACTTAGATGACTTCCAGATGCAAATGGAGATACTGTTTATCTGTCTTGACTGTCTGAACTACTACAGGTTTTCAAGCCATTTCACAATTATAAAAATATATTGATCATAGCAGATTTTATGGTTTGTTTTTAGCACATTGATTGTAAGTTTATTCAAAATATAGGTATAGCTTTTTTTAAAAGTGTATCTCTGATTTGGTGTATCTCTGATCCTGTGTGTCATTCATTATTTCTTTCCTCTCTAATCTAGTATGGAGATAGAGAATACTTCCCAGGTGCAGAGACAAAGGAAAAGGGCTTTCCAGGGTACAGCTGCTGTAAAGAAAAACAGCGGCACGAGTGGCAGTGTAAATGCAGGAACATCGATACCTGGAGGGAGCAGAACATCTGGGTTCAGCCAAAGAAGTCAGCCTGTCTCACCACCTAAGAGCTCAGAATCTGACAAACCTTGTGTGAGTGCTTCACGTCACCAGTCGAACTCAATTACAAATTACTTCCAGGTTACTAGAAAAAGGTGTGTTGAAATGTTCTTGGCATTACTTCCCTTATTGGTATGTTCATGCTGTTTCTGGAAAATTTTAACTCAAGCAATGTACTTTTAATTTGACACATACTTGAAAAGGTAATTTTTAGATTGAATTCCTAGAATGGAAGGTTTTTCCTCAAAGCTACTTTAAATTTCACAATGCAGCCCTTTAAACCCCAGAAGCTCTTGTAGGTACAGCTAATCATACTCAAAAATGCTTTTGTATTTCTTTTTCTTCTGTAATTTATTTCTGGCTAAGGGAAAGAGCTGAAGAAGAAGAAACATCTGTACCCAAACTAGCAAAATTGGAGGAAAGGTCATCGCCTCTTCCCAAGGGCACTGAATCCACAAGGTCCTCAATCTGCAACAGTGAAGCAAAACAGCATCAAAAGAGAAATAACATCCTGGACCCAAACCCCAGTTTTGCAGAAGACATGGATGTAAAGCTTATGAGGGAAAGTGTCAAACTAACAAGTGATAGAACAGACACTAAAACCACTTCTAGTGAAAATCATGCACCAAAAAAGAGAAAGGAATTAGATGATTTATCTGAAGATATAGAAACACTAGAAATGGTGTTTGGAAGTGGAGATGTAGACTGGGAAGATCAAATGGCAGATCATGACCAGGAAGCTGCAAGAAATAAACGAAGAAAACCTTTGGAAGCCAAAGGTAGCAGGATTCAAGAAGCAAATGTAAATCAGCAAGAGGAGAATAAAGTATTGGTAAGTTTTATATTCTTCTCAGATGCCTAATCTGGAAATTTGCAACTTTGTTAGAAAAATGCACTTAGCTTCTTTAAGGACGAGGCTGCCTGCATACAGAAAGTGGCTTTGTAAAATTTGTGAGCTTAAATCTTGTACATTAATTTTTAAATCAGAATGATTCATCTTTTGCATGTGAACATTGCCGTTTTACACCTACCTGAATGTTTTTTTTATTTTTCTTGGCCTTTTTTTCTTTGTGAATTGAAAGCTGCTTGTATTCTGAACTTTTCCTCTTTTTTTTCACTTTAGATACTGTAAGTAGAATAGAATACATCCCTCATCCAAGAAAATCTTCTCATATTGCTTGTTTCTATGTTAATTATAATGTTGTTATTTATTCTAAGATAGTACTCAATTATTTTTATGTAATTAATTTTCTAAAGAAACTTCTAGTTGACCTGTTCTGTTGAATACCACAGTAGTGTGCAACATCTTTTAAGTCAGTCTTTTGATCTCATGTGAAAGATTATTAAAATTCCTGTATGAGGAAAAACCAAAAACAAAGAAAACCAAAACCAAGAAAAACAACAGCAAAACCAAAACACAGCTTGTGTTTTCGTGATTATTTTTCTGTTTATGTTTTTGACACTAAGGAAATTTTCTAAGACATATGAAGAAAATAATATACCTTGAGTTAACAGTGGTCAGTATGTTAATAAAAAGAAAGGCAGGTTTGTAAAGGAAAACAATGTTGAGAGGTCTAGACTATTAATAATACAATAGGAATAATAGAACAAGTTAATTTTTTATTTATTTAAAATAATATTTTAATGCTTACTATCCAGTCAATTTACAGTGTAGGCAGTGTTTGTGTTCAAAAATTTGAATGCATGATGGACTGTAATCTTCAAGATTGCTTGGACCATATAAAAATTAGTAGTTGCCTGTGCATCCTTAGGTCAGACCAGCTTGACCACCTTGTTGATGCTTTACTGGAGTTTGCTTCTGGCGAAGTGTGAACTTCATTATAATCCTTTTTTTGTATGTGTGTTACTAACAGGCAGACTTTAAAAGACAAGTCCTTTAATTTAGAGAATTTTGTTTCTTGCTTTTTATACTATCAACAAGTAGGTTTATTAGGTCTGACCATATTGATAGACTAAAACTGGTGCTTGGAATAGTCTGTTAAATTTTGTTGCTTGGTGCTTGGAAGGTTTTCCTAGTCTTAACTCCTTGTCAGGATTCTGAAGGAGAAACAAATTTTATGTGCAACTGAACTGGTACTTTGGCAGACATGCACTTAAAGATTTTTGCAGAAAAGAAGTCTTCTCATAGTTTAATAATTACTTTATTCATGTAAAATATATTTCCAGTGGACCAGGAAGGAGATTACATGTTACAGGCAAATTTGGTAACTGTTTTCTGTAAGTATAGATGCATCTTGTATATCTGGCAAGACAAAGAATGTGAGTAATTGACTCAAAGCCTACAGGGTGCATAAAGCTGATTTGGTATTTTATCAACCATTGAAAATAATTTATGTAATGCCAATCTGTTTAAAACTATAGGACATAATCAATCTGCAGAATACTTTCTTGTCCTGGTAATGAAATATCCTTTCTGCACACAGGTACACTTCAAATATTAAATTGAAAATGCTACATTTTATGTTCAAAAGCTTTTACAGTTTTCCAGAACCTGTCAGGACTTTGGACATTGTACAGATGGACAATATAATAAAGAAAAAAACCGGAAGTGAACAAATAATAGTGATTTTTTTAATAGAGAAGACCTCAAACAATTGTTACAGTGTGCATAAAATCATAAAAAATTTGAAGTGCAGGGCATTTTTTTTCTGTCTAAAAATTTGTGTTGGTTTGAATATGTTTATTCTACTATAAAGAGCAGAAAACAATTTTATGTAATTAAATTCTCATTTCATTTCAGTTTTATATTTAAAATAATTTTTAATCAAATAGAAAGAAGAGGAACTTGGATCAGTTCTAACTTCAGAAATGAAAAATAATATCAAGCAAGAGTCACAAGACTTGGTAAGTTAATTGTAAGTTTGAACAGTGAGCCTTAAGAAGTATTACAAAAACACATAAAAATTTTGCTCTTAAGAACACAGCATTTTTGGATCCTATTTCTGACTAAAGGAGGTTTGCAAGATTGTACTCCTTAACATAATCATATGTAAATTTGAAGAGTGCAGTCCTGCTTGTAGACTGTGGAAAAAAAGAGCACTTGTAGTTCATCTGTGTGCTTCTGTAATGGCATTTGAGTGGATACTTAAAGGTGACTGAAACTGCATGTAATTGTATTTAGCCTTCAATGTAGTTAATACTTGTACTGGTGTTTTCTTAGATTACTGCTTAAAGACCTGCCAGAGATGTAATCTTGTCTGCTGTAAGATCACAACTAGAATGGAAGAGATGGAGCACTGGGAAAATAGATGTAATATACAGTGATTAACAGTAGATTAGTGTGCTAATTTTTTGTAGGTAAGATGAAGGAAGGAAGGAAGGAGAGGAGAATTGCTTGGAGTGGCAGTGAGGCAGAGGAAAAGGAGACTAGGCTAAATGAAACTGAAATTAAAAAATTCTGAAGAGATAGAGTGTGAAGCCAGTCAGCAAGGGGCAGAATAATACCTTTTTACCTACATACAAAAAAGAGCCCAAGAAGAGGGAATGCTGAGCAGGTATACGAGAGTGCAGGGTCAGCTCAGATCAAAGGACTTTTAATTAAATTTTGCTATAAAACAACGGTACTGCATCTGGGCTATAGCTGTCCTTTAATGTTGCTTGTGAACTTGTCTTGCACGCAGACATCCTCTGGAATCCACATAGATGCAGCCCCAGGCAGCAAAATGTGCATGCAGACTTGCTGGCATATGAGCGTTCTCATGGAAAAGAAAAATCTGATTGATCAGATTCATCTTACAGCCCTAGAGTTGGGCAGATATTTGTAAGCTAGAACTGAGCTGAAGATTTTCAACTTTGTCTGCCATGGAGTATTTCAATACATATTTAAACACATGCAAAATAAATATACTCTATTCATGGTATACAAGGAGGCCGACAAGTTCATACAGCAGATTCTAGCTCTGCTGCTGCTTCCCCTCACTGATTTGTAATCCTAACTTTTGTTTCTCTCTGCTCCTGATAACTTCCCTACAGTTTGTACTGTTAGATATGCTGTATGTCTGTTCACACACTTTAATGCTTCCTCCTTTTTTTTCCCCACATAAGAACCACAGCAAACTGGAAGATGACTCCAGCAATCTTCCTAGCAGGCTTTTGTTGACAGAGTTTAGATCGCTGGTTGTCAGCCATCCAAGACAGAACAGTCATCTTCCTGGAAATACCAGCTATGAGGGAAAGAAAAATTTCAAAATGTTCAGAAAGGTTAGTGTGTTTTTTAAATGGTCACAAGATGGCACTATTTAAAAATACTAAAAAGTGTTGCCTTTAGATTGTAGAAATATTTTACTAAAGATTTGATAATAACTAAAGAAATAAACAATTTAATTACCATATCATACTGTAAACAGATATTTTGTTAATTGACTGAAGAAGTATCAGGTTGACAAAGGCTTATCTCGTGCTAGATTATTTAAATACTTGTTCCAGCTGTAGCTTGGAATATGTTGCTAAGTGATAGCTACCACAACTTCTGGGTGTACCTCCAAAAGCTAGCAATTCCACTTCTCCAAAGGCCTGTATATACAGCATAGACTGATTCAGAGTCCTCCATTTTTAAATAATAAATCTTGGATTTCTAAATAGAACTAAATCTATATCATACAAAAGTAAGCTGATTGCTTGCTTGAGTCCTGAAGACAATTGCAAAATGATTCTTAGTGTTCAGTGTAAAAGTACCACTTCAGCTTATATTAAAAATAAAAGTTAAAATCATATGTTACAAGATGACTAGAAAGGCATTTCAGTAAAATAGTGTTTATAGAATGTGATCACATAATACTACTTCCTGGGAGTATGCTCTCATTTTTAGATAGAGTTTTAATTTTCTGATAATATTTTCTTTTCCACCATTTTGTAACAGATACTTATACAGTCTGACAATAAAATATAAACTGATTTCTATCAATATTTTAAATTCCACTTAATGCACTATGAAATTTATTTAGCATATATAACTTACCAGATGTGTTTTTGCTTGTTTCTTTTGGTAAAAGGAGGGAGTTAACAGCTTTCTTTAAATGCTTTTTTAACTTGAGTCACTTTTAAATATGATCTTTGAATGTTGTTCAAAGAAAGTCAGGCAGTCTTTCTTCTGTAATACCTGAATAGACTTTTTGAATTTGATAAAATAGATCTTCTGCTTGCACTCTGCTTGCCTTGTAGTTGTAAGAATTTATTGTCCAACAGGTAGCTTACCCTGGGGCAGGACAACTTCCATGCATTATTGGAGGATCAGATTTGATTGCTTACAATACTAAGAAGAATTCAGAGCTAGAAGACTGGTTAAGGCAAGAATTAGAGGTAAGAAATTATTTTTTAAGCATGATCAAATAAAAACTTGACTAATGTAAGTGATCATTACTGGAATACTTCAGGATTTTATTTTTTAAATAAAACCTCATCCAGTTGGTTGTCTACACATGCCCATGGGAGCATGTACAGTAGAAAAGTTACTGAACGTCAGAGGTCAGTGGTAACACTCATCTTTTTCTGGTTATTTAAATTCATTTTGCATGCAACAATCATACAATTAAAAATATAGAAAGCAAAATTGTTAACCTAAATGAGAACAATCTTTTGATGAGCAAAATAAGCGCTATGTAAACTTGTGACTTGTAAAAATGTGACAGGGAGCTAGAAAGAATTTTTGTATGGCTGTGTTCAAATAGTTGTACAGTACAGTTGATATTCTAGTCTTGAATAGAAAAGAAAAGAAAATGCATGAGTAAAACTGTTGGAGTATACTGAAAAGATGTAGTAAGAATAAATTTAATATTTTTTTCTCCTGTGCAAATCTCTAGATATAAAAGTCCTAAAAAAAACTTATCATGGCAGTTCTCTAGCACTTACGTTTTCCAGTAATTTCCTTAAAATACTTGCTGCTGAGTCATATTGTTTTCACAGCCTGATTGAGATCTTGTTGCATCAACACTTCTTATCTCATTTTTTTAATCCCTGAATATAGATAATGCTAATTAAAATTCCTTTTATACACAAATAATCAAATTAAAAAAATCAATATTTCTATAATGGTGCTCAAAACCAAAAAAACCCATTTCTGACCAAAATTGACACCTTCAAAATCTATTTAATTTACTAGTTGGTAGCAGTAGCCAAATTTCTGTAGTGAAATAACTTGTCTAATGTGATTATGCACTAAATGGAGTACATAGAGAAAACTTACTTCTTTGGGAAAAACTGTGTTAGTGCAGGAATATTGTTTTTCTAGATGGTTCATTAGAATTATCCTTAACAATACAATATTACATAAACTTTCTCAGGAACAAGACAGACGTGCAAGAGAAGAATCACTTGCTGATGATCTCTTTAGGTAAGAGTTTTATGTTTGTACGTAGAAAAATGTGAATTTTTTTGCATCACATTTCTTTGGACAGATTTTGAACTTGGAAAAGACTGCTTTGACTATTCTTTTCAAAATTTAATATATTCCCATGTATAGAATGTAGTCAAACTGTTTCAGCAGTTTCTCTGGGGAAAAAAAAATAGTTACCCAGGTTCGTTTAACATGGGAAATGGGAGGATATTGGAACACTGGAAACTGGGAGTTTTGAATTTTCTGTGCTGTTAGGCACTGATTTTTAAAAGAATATTGCTTTTGACAATGCTGAGGTGAGATGGAGGAGTTCATGACTGTCTGTTACTTCATTTTTGAAGTCTGAGTTGTATAGTAAAAACTGCTGGAAGTCTGAGTTGTATAGCAACAACAGTGACTTCTAATACTTTCTAGCTATGTGGTGATGTAATTTGGCTCACAAGTTGTCACATTTTCCTGTCTAAGCAAAAAGTCTTGATGAATGATAGCAGAACTAGTGGAAGTAAAACTGCCTAATCATTCAGTTGTATCTTTAAGTTATTCATGCATGAATACAAAACACATGGGACTTTCAAAGAAATGACAGGATTTTGGGAGATGAAGCCCAAATGGAGAAGGCCAAGGGATAGGAGTGTCAAGAAGAGTCAAACTATAAGCATATTGCAGTAAATCAGGCAGCTATTCAGTATATCCAAAAAGTAGCTCTAAATTTCTAACAGTCAATCAGAAGCTGTATAAAGGGCAAGGTAGGGCAAGTATCTGCTTTATGTAGGAGTAGGAAGCAGCAGAAAGGTTTTGTCTGGATGAGTTGTGGCCAAATGTACATCAGTGTAAACATACAGGGTCCCTGTTCCCTCTCTCCTTTTTTGTTGTTTTGGTGTCCTTTTCCAGTAGAGAGCTTAGCGTTGGGACGGTAAAGGCTTGGAGAAGCTTGTTCATGCATCAGATATGAAGGTTGTAAGTAGTTAGGAAATCTGAAAATTTCATTATCAGTTATCTTAAGTTTGTACACAAGCTGTACCTTATGCATCCTTCAGTCAAATAGTAGTAACTGTAGTTAATTACGGAGTGTAGTCAGGGAAAGGATTGAACACTGGCCATTCCCTTCTTATGAATATATAATAAAGTTGTTTGTATCACATTGTACATCTATATAAACTTTGAATATCATTGTTTTACTTATTAGTGACAAATTTTATTTTTTTGTTGCAGATATGATCCTAACGTGAAAAGAAGAAGATAAATTGTGACCTGGATTTACAGTGTTTCTTTGGCAAAACCTGCTTTCTGTTGCTTAGGTTTCCTGGTTACAGTGTGTATGATATTCCTATATATGACCATTTGAATATCTCTTATTGTAAGACATGTTTTGTAAGTCTTACTTTTATTAAAGAAAAAGAAAAATTCCTTTGACTGCTTGGCACTTACAGATTGCACCATTGTCAAGACCTTCCCATTATTCACTTCAAAGGAATGCTCAGTAAAATACTTAAGATTTCATTTTAGGCTATTTTTAATGTTTGGTTATCAGTACTATTTTGGGGAAAAAAGGAAGTTAGCATCAGGCTATTTTTTTTTTCAGAAAGGCTTTGTTAATTAGGTATTTTCAAGGGTATTATCTTAATAATTGAAAATCTGTTGAGGCTGAGATGCAACTGGCATTTGATCATGATATGATATGATCATTATATGATTCATAATGAACCACTTCTCTGTGGTTCATTATATAGAGCATATACTATTGTTACTGGTACAGACTACCTTGGAACTGAAAAAGTGGCTTCTTCTTCTCTTGCTTAAACATATTTTCATTTACACTTTTAAATCATGAATGCTCATTTGTTAAAATCTACTTCCAAGCCAGACAAAGTCTTTAAGAGGTGTTGCACTCCAATTTGGAATTTTAAATTATATGACTCATTTCTTTCTCTCATGCCTTTACTTTTTGCAATCGCTGTGTAAAAGAGTGGCCATCAAAATAGTTCAATTAACAGAGGAAACTATGAAACAATTACCTGTTTGTGGATTAGGAGAGCTCATCTTAATTATCTGAGAACTTGCAATTTGTGAGATTCCCCTGGAAGTACATTGAGAAAAACTTTCCAGACTTCCTGCTCAGCTGTATGAAGCAATCACATACAGATAAAGACAGACAGTAGCTCTATTGCATCCTATTTCAAGAGGGAGGATATCATTCCTCATGTGAGGAAGTCATCTAGTTGATGTAATTGAATTGACACAAACAAAATTACTTCCTCTGCCAGGAGCTCTAAGCATACAAGCAAGATGAGCTGCACTGTTTGAAGCTGTTCTGTTGCGTATCAGATCTAAAGAACAGCATTGCAAGATCTGTGTATGTCAAGATAGCAGATGTGCTGAAGTCATCATGGTTCTAACATGCAGAAAATATTCGGCCTTCCAAAGCCAGTGTTTTCTCAGCTCTGTCTTGGCATCTTATTGCTGGTCAGCAATGTCCAGAGTGATACACAAAGTGCAGCCCAATACTTCTGAGTTCCAAAAAGCTGTGAGAGTGTTAGCATAAGGGCATATCAAATCTTATCCATCAAATACCTTTAAAAAGACTTTTTAAGCAGTTGAAATTCTTTCTGGAGGAGATGTACTGACTGTCCCACGCTCAGTTGAGTTTTTCTGTCACTGTGAGAATTTCCAGGTTTTCTGGCAGAAGACCTACTGGTCCAACAGAGCTCTTGTAGACTGCTGAGGTTTTCGATTGTTACTAAATTCAAGCAAATAGGTTGGATAGCAGAGTATCAACGGACAAGATTCTTCAGGATTCTTCAGAAAGGCTGTAGTCACCGTTGTAAAAAAGAGCTGGAGAATTTCTGAGGTGAAAGGACAAAACACACAGTGTATAGGGGTCTTCTACAATAAAGCAAAGGCTCAAGTCCTTTGCTACTCTGACTGCAATCTGCTAGGGGTTCAAGTGACCCTGATGGCATAGCTGAGAGCACTCTTATGTTCATGTTTTATGATTTAGGGCTCTTCAAATCCAGTTTCCTAGGCATCTGAATTTACCAGCTTTGATTTTTTAAATTTTTTTTAAATTTAGTATTTAAGAATTGTCGGTCCCTTTCAGCTCAGAATAGTCTAGGATTCCAACTTGAAGGTGCCTAGTAGGTGATACAGTTTGTGATCCAGTTTCAGCTGCTGTCCAGTTGATGAAAAGCCTGCACATTAATGCACCTGAGCTTCTGCTATTTCAATATTAAGTTAGGCTTGCGTTAAAAAGCTTAGACATACAAACCCCTTAACCATGGCTTGAATTGTAACACCAAATTCATGTAACAAGTCCTATTCTTTATTCTGAAGTCTTCTTCCATTTTAAGTTGCTTTTGGCATGATTTTCACCTCAAGACATTAGAAGAAAAATGTTTGTTGGCTTACTGGTTTGGCCTTCTGTTACTAAAGTTTGAGGTAAATGATAATGGACATGATTACATAAATTTGAATTTCCAGTGAATTACATCAGTGTCTGTCTTATCCCTGGAGCTAGTGCATTAACTTCACCTTTGTTTCCTTTATGGTATAGAACATACTGTTGTAGGCTAACCCCATTAGGCAGCTAAGCCCCATGCAGCCACTCATACATTCTCCCCAAGCAGGATTGGAGAATCATAGAATCAGAAAAGAGAAAGACAGAAAGCTGAGGTTGAGGCATTTTTATAGGTAAAGCAAAAGCTGTGAGCACAAGCAACTCCGCATTCTGCAGTTCAGAAATTTTGCTATGCATTCTATTTTCACTGTGCAGCTTGTGCTTTCTGGTTACAATCATTCCGTTTCTGGGAGGGCTTGTGTGGTGCTGATTTTCTTTAGAAGGTTAAAAAAAGTTCAGTAAATCAGAAAAGATATCTAAGGTTTCATCTGCCACACTCACAGTCTGCAAGTATACCACCTTTTTGACAAAATTATGCTCTTCACCTTAAAAATACATCTAAGCAGAAACTTCAGATCCTGTTTCTTGCATTTTTTGTGTGTAACAAAGTTTGAGGGTTTGTTTGGGCTGCTTTTTTGGTAACATTTATTACCTTTGTTCACACTGCTTACAGGAAGGAGATGCACACAATATATAGACTAAATATACTTTTTATTAGCAAGGCTCTTAATATACAGTCTTGCATTCAGCAGCTTAGCTGATGAAAACCGTTTAAAGCAGATTGAATTACTCTAGGTTCTACTAAAACTGCATAGCTGCTGTATCCCTGCATGCAAACATGTTTAATTTTCAGTTTAACTCACACCAATTTCAGCTGACTTCACATTTTCTACGTCAGATGGGGAAGCCACAGGTTTTTCTTTTGGAGAAGACTACCAAGATATTCTCACTGTTGAAGTGTGATTTCTATTTTTGTCCATTTACATCTATGAGTCTGTCCTTTTTTCTCCCACCTTTACTCCCCCATCTTCTCCCAGAATGGTGGTGGTTGTGTGTCAGGGCTGGCCTCTTCTTTGTGGTTGGACCAGTTCCTATATGTGGAAAGTGTGTTTGCAGTCAGCTTGAGTTCCTCCATCCAGCCACCTCCCCATCAATTTCCTCTGAATTGCCAAGTCCTCTTCCTTGCCTTCAATGCTGATGTGTTATAGGCTCTATTCCATGTTAATTCCTGAGACAGTAGCTGAAGCTTCTACTGTAGACCTGCCTCTAACCCACTCGCCTGTCTTGCTCCAGCCAATGTTACACAAATGACTTCTCAGTCCGTATTTTTCCTGTCTTTCCCTCTCCCATTAAACTGGAGGGAGTCTTGCACCCTCTTCTCTTGCTCTTTTCCATTTCTTGAATCAATCCTCAGTCACATTTGGCCACATCTGGTTTGAGTCACAAATTCACAAACTGATTTTTGCTTAATTTTCAAATTCCAATTGTGTTCAGGTTGTTCGGGTATCTCCTTAGAATTCAAGCCAGTTGTGCCAAAAAATGAACCCTCTTCCTAACCATTATTCCTCCCTCTTCCTCTTGCAATCTTTGATCACCATCACCACATTCCACTGAGATAGTTACAAAAATGCTACACAATATCAGATATCCCTGACTAGCAACTCTCTACCACTTGCTTTAGCGCTCTGCCCGTGCTGCTCTGCAGCTTTTACTACTGGAATCTCTGTCAGTCATTGCTTTCAGCACCACATCCATGCAAAACAACACTGCAGCTCTCTGAATGCCTTTTCTTCCACAGTTTGATCTTTCATTTGACTTGAGTTCCCTGCTTCTCAAAATCAAAATAACTGACTTCTTGGTCACGCTGTTTTAATATTTTGCCTTCAGTCTATAATCAGTTTTCACACATTAAGATAAAACAAGCCTAGCATGCAAACTTCTGGAATATTTATCGTCTATCAAAAGAGAGGTTTTGCTTACAAAAAATGTTCTGTACATGTTTACATTGCTTGTCTTAAAAAAAAAAAAAAGTATGATGCAAGCATACTCCAGCGAAAGATCAGAAACAGGCACTGCCACACACAGTATTTACATAGTAAATTTACACAGTATCTCTAAGTCCAAGTGCATTGTGTGTGAACAAACATATAAGTAGATTAATACAGTCCTTTATGTAATTTCTAGCTGGAATTCCAGCATACAACCAGCATAGCAGGTCTAACAGAAATGGGCAAGGTCAGAGTACTGACTCAGTAAATTGTGCCAGGGAGATGTAAGGTAGCAGGATCAGTTCTTGAACAATAGCTCACTGTTCACATAGTAGCTGGTCCTAGCATCCAACCTGATGGAAAATATTTGTGTATCTAGTTTAAAAACAACCTAAAGATGCCAGGATTCTATAGTATATTGTGAATACATAACAAACCTAGTTGTTAATTTTCTTTATGCTGGCATTTAAGTTTACAGAGGGTGTTTAGAGGACATACAGTTGTAGGCTGGTACTTACAAATTGCCAGTGATCTCAGAATAAACAGATGGAGGAGGAAGGTGCAAATTAGAGTTACTTAATCTCCAGAAAGTTTTTTCCTGGTTTTGATGACTACTGATTACACCTAGGTTTTAAGAGTTGGTTTATGATTGACATTTTTTGGATTATGATTCCAGCTTTATGAAAGTACAAAATTATCAGTTAGAAAATGATCTAACATGCAGACAGGTATAATATAAACTCAAGCTCAAGATGTGCTTGAGCTGAAATGTTCTAGTGTCTACAAAGACAAAACCATCTCTAAAACAGCGCTTAGATTCACTATAGCTATGAAATAATAGCTATGAAATATGAATAATAGGCTTTTCCCCTTGCCCATAATCCTTGTTCCTTACACCAAATTCATCCTTAACCACACAATTCTCCGTGTAATTCAAGCTTCAAAAATAAATTAAACTGAAACTCCCAGTGTATTTTAGTCCCAAAAATACACTCTGTTTCAGAAAAAGAGCCGTTTATAATTCCT